AGGCTTAAACCCTAAACCCAAACCCTAAACCCTAAACCCCTATAACCCTGCACCCCTAAACCCTAAAGCCCTCAACCCTAGACCGCTAAACCCTAAACCGTAAACCCTAAACCCCTAAACCCCAAACCCCAGGTACGTCTGCGGCACCCGGAAGGATTCCGCCACGCCCTTTGGCGACAGCCTGGTTCTCTCGAGCTCTATGCTTCTTGGCCGGTGGTTTGGGAAGTTACTAATATAGGGGCCTCAATACCTGTATTATCGTGGGCCTTATTATGTTTCTACTGATTCTACTGTAAAGGACCCCAAAACCCTATTCTAGTTCTTAAGGCCCCTATATTAGCTAGGATTGTTATTTCTTGACATACCCACATGACTAGACTGGGCAATGCAGACTCTTAGCCCGGATCGCTGCCTCTAGCTGCGTAGGTTTGGGGCTCAGGCTGCGTTGATTTCAGAACCCCACTTTCTAGAGCAATGAGCTCGAAAGAGCGCTGGGCAGTTTCGGATTTAGGGTTCGCGGCCGCTTGTTGCTTCCGTGAGGGCTTTGCGCTTTCGGGGATACCTTAATGGCTAAACCCGAAGCCCTACCCGAAATGTTCAGCAACCCTTACTTTGTAGTAGAGTGGATAACCTTTAATCTTTCCGAGGTACCATATAAACCCTACAAAATCCCAAAGGTTAAAGGTTAACTTTTAGTTCCCCTAGGGTGCTGGCTTATAGTCTCCATTATAGTTCCTTTTGGGGGCTACCTTATAGAGCCCTAAAAATATAAATGATTAAGCCCAAAACAGAATCTACAACGGAGACTCTAGGTAATATAGGAGCCTGAATAATTACCTATACTATTTTGCGGCTTCTTTATTATAACTATAGTGTAACATACCCCAAAACCCTAGTCTAACTATTAGGGCCTCCACATTAGGCTTATAAGCCCTACCTGAACCTCAGAAAGCCTCCCTTCATAAGGCCTTAGACGAAGAGTTGTGAGACAGAGTGTGTGGCTTTTTGTAGGGTTCAGCAAATCCCAACAGCCCCAAACCATAGAACCCTAAACCCTGTATAAACCCCGAAACCCTAAACCCCTAAACCCGAAGCTGTGAACCTGACAATTTAACAGTCAGATTGATGTAGCTGTAACTGAGTAGCTGACGCATGAACGATTGATATTTGAAGCAAATGATGGGCAAAGGTCTTTACTACGCCAAGTACTCAGGTCACTATCAGACAAAATTCCTGCAAACTTCACCCTGAACCCGAAGCCGTAAATCGCACAAACGTCGACCCGACACAAGCCTGAACCCTAAACCCTTCACCCTTAAAGGAGGCCTAAACCTTATAAATCCTTGAACCCCAGACATCGTCTTAGTCTCTTGGGTCCAGGTTGGCGGTTGCCCTGATCTGCGCCCCCTTTGCTGTCCGAAATCTGGACGACAATGTGATCCTGCAGTATTTGGCAGCCTGTTTGAACCGACGGTTTGCTAAGGGGTGTGGGTTTTAGGGTAATTTTTAGCAGCCTGTTTAGTGGACTGTTAGTTAATGGACACCCGACATGATCCATCGTTAGGAGTATGCCATATTCCTGCAGGTTTTAATCCTACTCACTAAACTCTAGACCGTTGAGATTACTTCCGGTAAGGCACGGTTCAGGGCAGTCTTTCCAAACTTGAGGCTATGAGGTTCTGTCTTGAGGCCGTTGAGTTTGTTTCTGGTCGAGGCTTGCGGCGGGCCTAGGCTCCCCGAAGCTACCCTTCATTATATGGGTGGTTCTCTAAATTATGGTCCCTTCATAAGGGTGCTGTACTACAGTGGGGACCCAAAAAGCGACCCTAATTTAGAGAACTACCCATATACCCTCGCCCCTAAACCCTAAACCCTAAACCCCACATTTTAAGGACCATGAGGATTCCAGCGAAAATATTTTCGGAGGGTCTCAGCACAAGA